CTATGCAAACCTAGTTCTTGAATCCCTCCTCCAGGAACTCCTATCCTCCTTCCCCTCATTTGTGAACCTTTGGTGAGAGTAAAAATGACAATAAAACTAAGGGTGATCCAGAGTCACTTATGTTTTACACCTGTTTACTGAGTCCATTATGCTCCTCTTTCACAAGTTTTTCACATGAATCATCATAAGAAAATAAAATGTATTATCTACAAAGGGTCCTGGCATTGGTCACAGTCTAATAATATGGAGTAAGGATGTAGGAAATTGTGGAAATTGTGCTATCCAGACAATTTCTTAAAGCCTAATCATTTCTGACAATTACTCCATAATTCTTTATAGAATTTAAAACCTAATTTACCAATAATGTATTTTATGGTAACTTAACTGTGATGCTGAGAACACTCAACGGTTCTCAGCCAAGCTAACCAACCTCTAAAAGGTTGATGCTGAGTGAGAAAGAAATTGAAAATAGCCATCAAGGGAGAGAGAGCAATATGCTTGGGTTAAAGTATAACACCTGGTGTCCACGAGCAAATATTCTCTTTAAATTGACAAAGGAGAAAAGCGAAAGAACAGAATAAAAGCTTTGGGATGACCTGTGAGAATTCTAACAGATGGAATAGAAAATAGATAATTAAGTATTTATCACATTTAACTAAACTATCATTAAATTATACCAAAGATGCAAAGTATATCAATATAAGCTGCAGGAAGTGCAGAGGATGTAGCTCAGTACTAGAGCCCTCCCCTAGTCTGTACAAGTCACTGGGTTCAATCTGCAGCATGAAAAAAGAATTTAATAAAAGAGAAAGATCTAAGTACAAAACATTTATATGAAGCATCATATATTAAACACTATATTTTTACATGTATTTCTGTGTATATGTGTACATGTGTGTGTGCACACATGGCAGCACACTGGGTGTGTAAGTCAGAGGATAACATTCAAAGAGTTTGTTCTCCTCTTCTGTCAACCATGAGTTCCAGGGATCTACCTAAGGTCCATCAGTCTTGGTAAAAAAGTGCCTTATGCACCAAGCCATCTTGCTGGTCTCAAAACATTATCTCTTGAAACTGTTGTTAAATGAAATGCCTAGAAATTAATCATATCTCTTTTCAGCTTTATGTTTTACAAAAAAAAAAATATTAATTACCTGTTAAAAAAAACTGATACATCTGTATAAATCCAGTTTTGGAACGTACCCTGAACACCACACTCTACCTCCCCTAAATCGATATCTGTGCTAGCCAAGAGAAATGACCTCAAACTTGCAGTTACTAAATTTTCCATCCCCCTACACAGTCTCAAAAACACTGAAAACTTACCTAATTGCATCATTATTAATATTCTTATATTTTAAGTGAAACAAATGAGGCTTTTGTCTACTCCTAACACATGTTGTTCAAAATACTTCTGAATTATATTCAGTTACAAATAAGGGCCTGGAGTGCTGGCACATGCCTAGAATTACAGAATTATAGCATTTGGAAGGCTAGCCTCTGCTACAGTATCAAGTCCTTACTGAAAAGAAAGACCCCTATTTAAATGGAAGGAAGGAAAAAGAAAGAAAGGAGAAAGGGAAGGAGGGATGAATGGAGGGAGGGAGGGAAAAGAAAAGGTTACAAATATGGACCTCATTCAGATTTGCAGCGGAGGCAAAGGATTACATACAATTACCACTATAGTAATCTTTAAATGTTACTGAAAACAAATGGAAGCAGTATTTTCTTCCTACTACCTTTACCAACTGGTGAATTTTTTTAAAATATAACTGCATAGAGGAAGGAAGTTGAATTATTAAAGAATATGTATAATTTGCTCCACATATGAACTTATAAGAGACATATAAAAAGAAAAGGGGCAGGGGCGAGATGGTTCAGCAGGTAAAGGAACTTATCACCAAGCCTGGTAACTTGAGTTTGATGCCCAAGACCAACATGGTGACTGCAGAGAACAGAATCCAGCAAGTTGATCTCTGACCTCCAAACATATCAAATAAATACAAAATAAAATATTTATAATGTGTATTTTTTTAAAGAAAAGGGGGGTTGGTGTATATATAAAATGAAATATTATTCAGGTCTAAAGAAAAGTGAAATTACAAAATTTGCAGGAAAATGGATGTATGTGTGGGTATACTAGAACATTTAGAAAGGAGAACAAGAAAGAGTAATAAAGAAGGCAAACTAATGAGTTCATAAATATAGCATACTTCATGTAAGGCCTCGAATCCTCTCTCAAGATATAACACATTCTCAATGCAAAGACCTTTAATGGGCAGTATTCACATATGATTCCAAAGGAGGCTGTTAGTTAACAGGGAAATCTGCATTTTATAATTATGTTTTTCATTGTTTAAAGATTTCTGTATGCTATCATTTGATGTATTAATAAACTTATATTCTATTGTTTAAAAAATGAAGAATGTTTTAATATAAGCACTACTTCTCAACTTTCAATTAATATTTGATGACTAAACCATAACCATAAAATTCAGTTTTACGAAATAAAGAAAAAAAAGTTTTGTAAAGAGCTTGCACTCTATAAAACAATCACCTAAAATGCTCAAATGTTAGCACTTTAAATCTGTTAGCAGTAAACATTGGTACTATTGTTCAGAAGTTCATATTTGCTACATCAAATACCCACATTTTGAGATGGGATCTATCAACACATAGAGTAGATGTGAAAGTCAAGGAGACACTAGCAAAATAAAAGGGAGCCATTCAGGTATTTTTCCTAACACACCTCATTTCAGAATTTTCATTAACTTAACAAAAATCAAGTGATTTTTTTTAATGAACTGTGAGCAATAAAATAGCTAATAGAAAAGTTCCTAGTCTGTCATAATTTGAGATTTAGCTCTAGGTTGGCTGTTACATTGAAAACAATTGTTGGTACTTTTGATCCTCAAGTAAGAAGAATTTCAATTAGCAGAGTAAGATAAAATAATTTCAAATACTATATTTTGTTAAGTTTTTCACCATAAGTTTTATGAAAATACATCATTTCCCAAAATTCTAAATAATACAATGCCTTAAGAAATTTTAAGCTAACTGATTTGTTGTCAAGTATCTAATGCACAGAAAGTGTGTGAACTGTTGTACTACTTGATGCAATTATTTAAAACATTTTGTACTTTCGTGTATGTCATCCTAAAATGAATATACAGTATTTCGACTAAACATGATAAACATTGTGCAGTAGTTGTCCAAACCGCAAAAAACTGATGAAGAGAAACAGTACAATACAGAGAAACATCAAGAGACTCTGGCAGACTACCCTAGTAGCCCCCAAATAGGATAGAAACAGTTTTCACACTATTTGTATCAAGAAAGATATCCAGAAAGAGTGAAATAAAAAATGAAAAATTGTGTATCAGAAAAAATTACTTCTGTATTTTATAAATGGCATTAGGTGCCTTCTCCCAATCAACTGTGATAATTAACAGACTTCCATTACTACACGAATAGGATAGGGACTTGAAAAATTCCATCCAGGGTAACCCAGCAAGACAGACAACTGAGTACAAGACTTATAGGTAGGATACATGTGGTAGTGGAAATCTGTGAATTTTCTCTTCTGAGTCTCTCCATTTATTCACTAAATTAAGCATCAAATTCATCAGCAGAGAATTATAGGGAAGAATTCTATCATTTCAGTAGCAGATATAAAATGTCACCTAGGAGTTTAGATATGAGAACAGTGTGCGGATATTTAAAATGAGTGTGTGAAAACATAAAGGCACATTTGGTGCTTTGGAAATGGAATGTGCTTCAGAATTATTAGGGGAATCTTGGATTAGAAGAGGCAAAGCCTAAAAAAGGGGAGGAAGAGCAGGTAGCAGGTAATCTTAGTAGTCACAAGAAACAAGTACAAGAAGGATTATCTAAACTAGGAGCAAACACAGCCAGCAAACAACTAAGGTCACAGGTACAACAGTTATTATAAAAGCAGAACCAATTAGATTTGTAGAGCAAGTGAGAGTTACTTGAGAAAAATGGATTCGTTTACTGCTGAACTTAACAGAACATGAGTATGGCAAGGCTACTGATATCAGAAGACTGTTAATACTGCAAGACATACTAACCAAATTGAGCAGAAAGGAAAGCTGTCAACATAATTTCTGAGGGAAGGAAAGAAGACTGAGAAAGATTTAGCACTAAACAGTCTCAAAGATTATTTCTCATTTTGTGGTTATTGATTTTGACAATTAAGACAGGACGATGGAATAATAATCTGAAGTGCATCTAAGTGACTGGGAAATATTAACACATCAAGATAGACTATTGCTTATTTGATAAAGGAGGGGGATGCTACAAATGTTAATGCATCATTTATATAAAATTTATGGTCATAAAATTGACCATAAAATTATGGTCAAGCAAATCAATGTGATATGGACCAGTGCTTTATTCCCCCCTTCTTATACCAGAAGCTGTTAAAAACCCAAATATTATATTAAGAAACGCTTCATTCCACACACCAGGAAACACCAGAAACATGCTACAAAATATAAGTGGAATGACTTAGCTAATAGAAAAAAATTGGAGGAATTAATTCCTTCGTTCCAATTACCATTTTGTTGTTTGTTTTACACTCTGGTCTCCCAACTGTATTTCATATACTCAATAGACCTTGTAGACTTAAGCTCATTTTCCTTTGGAGAAATAAACACACAAATTAGTTACTTGAAAAATTGATTTGGTGGGCCACAAGCTATGAAATCCTAGAGAACAATAGTAAGTAAGACTATCCCTGCTTTTAGGTACTCAAAGTAGAACAGATAGGCAGGTAAGGGCATTTTAGCAAATAACTAACTAATTAATTAATTAATTAACCACGCAGGTACTTTTTCAAGTATTTCTGTTATATCAACAAGGTTTAGGCCTGCCCTTTAGGTGATACAAATACAGTCCTCACAAAAACACCTATTTAAAATGCAGTGCTACTCTGGTCAAACATTTAAAATTACAATAAAATTAGAGGTCTAACTTACCATCATTTTTTCAAAAAGATCCAGCACTTCTTTTTCTGATAGATTCAGAGATCGTTCATCATACAAAGGCTGAGCTGCTGGAAAGTCACTCATTGCGACTTGAGAATCGATCGGATGTTGAATAAGAGGTTTTTCTTTTTTAACGGTAGATTTTCTGAAACTTGTAATTCGGTCACGCTGCAAACAGAAAAATAAAAAGCCCTAAGAAAAAAAGACCAGGAACCATGAACATGAAGAATGGAAACATCAAAATGGTACTTAGTATAATATATATTATTATTGTCTCTTGACAAAATGTTATTGTAAGCAGCAAGCTCTAGTTAGAGATTGTACTATTTTGAAATCTTAAAGTAGTTCTTAAACTTCCAAAGTCTTGGGATGAAAAACATTCCTCAATAGTAAAACTTAGTCACTTGTCATTTCTGTTTTGTACAGAAAGTAGGCGAAAGGAAGTTTTGGATCAAAATCTTGTGGTGGTTCAGGGAGAATGTGTCTTTGGTGCCAGTGTTAGAGCTATGGAATGAGAGGAAAAAATAAAAAAGAGCTACTGATAGCAAACTCAGAGGGAAATGTATGGTAATGTTTTTCTTCCTCAAAGTGCAAAAGCTGTGACAAATATATATGAATAACTTGTCAATGTAGCAGTTGACTAAAGTGTATAATATCAAGTTTGCAGATAGATACACTGGGTTCCAATCCTGAATCTGAAAGTCACTATGTAAGCAACCCTAGGTAAACTACATAGTTTTCCAATCTCAGTGTCTCATCGTCTCTAAAATGAAAAAATTAATTATTGTTACTGCTACTGTTATTACTATATTCCTCAATTTTTCCTTCCCAAAGAAGTGGGATCAATAGGAAGCAAAACAAAAATTCCATTTAAGAGAAATATAAACAGAAATCTTACTCCTCCAAATATTATTTTGATGAACTTGCTACTTTATGGATATTCCTTTAAGCCACTGACATGTACAATCTCTAAAATTAGCTTGCTGCTTCGCATAGTGAGTCAAGGACTACAATTGTATGCAAACATGCCATTTTATTTAAAACTACAATACATTTTCCATCATAAATTAGTAATATTCATAAAACTGAAGGCAATTCAGTTTTATTCTGGTGTCTGTTAGAAAGCCCATGCAGTATCATCAGGTCCCGCAAGCAGACATGTTAGCTATGAGGACAGTGCGTGTACACTTCCATGTTATCACAGTCCTTTGAAATGACCTTAACAATATAAAAGTATCAAAGACATTGTAATATTTTGTTGACCTCTGCTAAAAGAATACATTCTTTATTTCATTGATGCAAAGAACATTTTAAAACTAAAACATGTACTTTGAAGAAAGCAGTTTTAAAGAGCTTATTTAGGATTACAAAAATGATTTGAGTACATGGTTGCTTACAAATGGATTACATAAACCACAGTATTTTAGCACAGGGAAGAAAAATGAAAATATCATCTAGACTAACTCCCTTATTTAATGGAGAAAGGTGACTCAGTAAAAACATGAGCCCTTAGTTCTGATCTCCATTTTCACATTCAGAAAATCCATATTCATTTCTTTGAATTATTTGAACATTCATAAATCACTAAATGTAATAAAACATATAAATGGACTTAAAGACAAAAACCATATGGTCATCTCAATAGATGCAGAAAAGGCATTTGATAAAATCCAACATGCATTTATGTTAAAAGTCCTAGGAGTTGAACTGCATTCTTAAATTTTATCTCTTTGAAGGATGTTAAGTTGGTTTAGATAGGTAGTCTATCTTCACAAACTCAATAATTTAAGTAATCCTAAATAAACTGAGTCAAATTTCACTTAAAGATGTGGTGGACATGAAAGTATTTAAATATGCAATTGGCCATGAAATTAACATATCTCTTTTCCATTTCCTTCATATCACTTAAAATTCAGTTTTGCAGTTGAAGCTCTCTTACTGAGTAGCAGCACTACTACCATATTGACTGGAATTTTTTTACACTCTTCATTTCTATGCACAAAAGGTTTTTATTTTTTTATTTCAGCTATACTTTAGTAAGAAAATGAAGTCAATATAGAGCAGTAACACTACTTAACATTATCTGTTAAGATAGGTAACTTCACAGAGGAAAAAATAATTATATGACTTAAAATACCATTTAAGAAAGTTTAGCTATAAAAGAGTACATTTAAACTTGAGCCTATAACTTTTAATAGGAATTACTATGGTGATCTGAGCTTGAAATATTTAAGGCTTTAAATTTAATAGCCCAAGTCTAACTAACATAATGAACTAAATTTTCTTTCTATTTGAAATTAATTTCCTCCAATATCAGTATTTAATATATTCACAACTTATTTGGCCATCAAAAAAAGGGGGAAGATCCATGTTTTCAAAAATCTAGATTTATGCACAATTTTTTGAAGGGTTATGCTACATAACAAAATGATAATAAAATTTTGCTGGGATCTCGCCCAATTTTTTATGGACGTTTGGGGGCTTTGCTTTTGGGGGAAAAAGAGTTTGACACAGGGTCTCACTACATAGCCCTGGCTAGCCTACAACTCACTATGTACACCAGGCTGGCACCAAACTTTCAGCAACCCTCCTGAAGTGCTGGAATTACAGGTATGCACCATGGTATCTGGTTATAATTGGTTATGTTAATATTTGAAAAGGAGAATTAACTCCAGTGCCTATTATCCCACTCCAATTTGTAAACATTCAGGCAGTTATATATTGCATATATCAATGCTTTAATGTCCACCTATTTAATAAAAATGTAACATGCATAAGCAATGCAATAATATGCTGCTAAGATCACCTTACCACATCATCTGCCAAAGTTTTTATTTGAATGTTCTATTAAAACCGAAAGGAAACAAACAGAAGAAATACCAGTCAGATAAGAGAACTTCATAAATAAAGCAAAGCAATAATAACTGAAGGAATTGAATGAATCTGTTTTTACCAAATGTAAATAGTCACCATTAGAAACTTTGACAGATAAATAATGCATTTTCACTAAAGAAAAAAACTTTTAAGAATTAAATATAAAGGTTTGGCTGGGGAAGAGTTATCTATTTCTTTTTAAATATGACTCCTAAGATTCCAAAGCCACATCCAGATGACAGTATTCAAGTATGATAAGAGAGTCAATAAAATCAGATTCCCTTACAGGTTTTATCAAAGTTTTGAAATGAATAAATCATGTTTGCTTTTCAACATTATATTAATTACCTTTTATTTACTGTATATTCCTAATATTGTACAATATATTTTGACCATATTTAGACTTCATCCCCATCTGCCTCCCTCTTATAACTCCCCGCCCCAGGTTTTATGTACTTTGTCATATATATTAAGGTCTCTCTAGTCAAGTTTGTGTTCCCAAACATCCTTCCGTGTGCATCCATTACTTGAAGAAGAATGTAACAAAACTAAATAATACCTAACAATTCAGTAATCCTCAAGATTCACAGACTAGTCCAGAATCTCACAATAACATAAAATCAGTATGAATTGTAGTTCTCAGTATATAATAAGTTACATATCACTTAACAACAAAGATATGCCCTAGAAATGCATATTAAGTGATTTCATCATTGTGTGAACATATGAGAGTCTACATAAGCAAACTGAGGTGTCACTGGTCAATATAATCTTACAGGATCAATATCATATACACAGTCCCATCCCTGGCTGAAACTATTAATATGGCATATGACCTTACACTGAAATGTCAATTAAAAGGAATATTTAGGGAGCTGGAGAGATGGCTCAGCAGTTAAGAGCACTGGCTGCTCTTCCAGAGGACCCAGGTTTGGTTCCCAGGACCCACATTGCTGCTAACAACCATCTGTAATGTCAATTGCAGGGAATCCAATGCCCTCTTCTTTCCTCCGAGGGCATTGCATGACATGGATGCACTTACATACATGCAAGAAAAACACTCATACACATAAAAGAAAAATAAATAAATCAAAGAGTTTATTAAATGAGAGATATGTTTAGAAAGAACCATTTCATAATTACTAGAGATTAAATCGAACCCTACTGGCATGTACATATATTATTTCTTGCAGAAGAAGCTGAGTAATATGTATATAACTTAGTCATGGATGTTGGGATCCATTTTTACTAAGTAAAATACAGTTCCCTCACTGGAGAAAATTCCATTGTGGGTTTTCAGTAAGTTAAACCTGCTTGATCTCAGGACGTCAGAAAACTGTGTTCAATTACTACAAGTTCCATGCTGTTAAAGATCACCCTTCCTCAGAACAGCTGTGGCAAATATACTATTGCATGTATAGATCCTTTTACACTTTTAATTCTTTGATTCCCTCAGAAATCTAAACTTCTAATATCTGTATTAAATCTTCATCTTAACAATGAATTTGTACTGCCATGGAAAAAGAAAATGAGGAAGTGAAAAGATGGTTCAGTAGGTAAAGTGTTTGTTATGCAACCTTGATGTCCTAAGTGCGAACCCCTAGAGCCAGGTGCAGTGCTATGCATCTATAAACCCAGTCCTGTGCATCTATAATCCCAGTGTTTCTAGGACAAGAGGCAGAGACAGACGAATTCATGGAAGCTAGTAGGCCAGGTAGTCTGACATGAGCAACAAAGATACCCTGTCTCAAGACAGAAGCTGAGGACCAGCAAACACCCAGTGTTGTCATGTGACTTCCACAGACACCCTAATGTACATGCTTCAACACTCACACACACAAGCACGCATTCACAAACTCACACACAAATATATGCAGCATACACAAACACAAATGTCAAAAAAGGGGGCAATTATTTATATCAAAACTACAGCAAGTTTTTAAAAACAAATTCGCCTAAGAAGTTTCTCTACCAACTATTTTCTCTTTCATTTTTTTCTGGTGGGTTATAAAAAACTCTCATGCATAACGATAAACTTGATTTCTTATAAAGTCAAATCACAGGCCTGCAGTAACTCTGTTGCTGTCTGATGAGGGCCTGTCGACCTGAGTTTTTGAGACAGATTATATAAATCCTTAAGCAACTCCTGCTTTCATTTTCTTCCATTTCTGCAGGGTTATAAACTTAAGATTGGAAATATCCATATCTCCAAAGCCAGAATGTAAATTAGAAAAACATGATTTGGGTTAGTCAAATTTCCTAAGTTAAGGTATACATATGTCAAAAATGCTCCAAATCACTACCTCAATTGAACACACGTTGACAATTTAATCAGTGAAGACAAACACAAGAAAAATAGAAATGCTAGAAATACTTCAACCGATCTTATAAAAAGATACTGGAGCCTTCTCTGTCCCGCTATTCTCCCATTTTGAAATAACACCTTTTTGTCTCAATTAAGTCACCTAATATGGACAATTTGAGGTGGGTAGAATTTAGGACAACCTAAGCCAAACTTCTCATTTCACAAACAAGAGTGAACCACTTATGCCAATGGTACCCCTGCAATCCATTTGTCTGTGCTTAATACTTCAATACTACCTCAGTATACTCCTCCATTTCCAATAGCCAAGCACACAACTGTTCAGACTCACCACAGTCTTTCAGCACGGCCCCCCCACCACACACATACAAAATCTTCAAGATACCATCAGCTATTACCTAGATTTGCTACCAACTTGTCTGCCTGATTCCACCTTTGCTCTCTTATAGTTAGGCCTTTAAAAATATTTTATTTATTATTTTTATTTTATGTGTATGACATGGCCTGTATATAGGTAAATGCACCTGTGTCACACAATGCCTGCAGAGGTCAGAAGAGGGCATCAGAGCCCCTGGAACTGGAGTTATGGACAGTTCTTAGCCACCATGTGAATGCTGGGAACTATACCTGGATCGTCTGCAAGAGAAGCCAGTGCTCTTAACAGCTGAGCCATCTCTCCAGCCCCCACTGTTAGTTTTGAAAAGAGTAAAGTTATGCTGTGAAAACAAAGGTCACTCTGCAGCTAAGAACTGCAATGACTCTATTTTCCCTTCCAATCCAAGTCAAACTCAGTACAATGACTACAAGATTCCTGCCATATTCTCCTATTGCTTTCTCTTGGTTCAACTATCTCCATTCACCCTGACCATCTCAGGGTCCCTAGAAAGACAGACACCCACAGAAATGGGCTCTTTCTTCCGACTGCAAGTTGTTGTTTGTTTGTTTGTTTGTTTTCTCAGTGAGGCCTACTCTATTAATCCTATGTTAATGATAACATTGGCTTCATCCACACATTCCCATTTTTCTTTTCTTCTTCAAAGAAGACTTAAAAAACCAAACAACATCTTTTCTTATTATTATTTTTGGTCTGTTGGCTTTTGTATTGTTTTCTCAAATACTGGGGATTTATCCCAGGACCTTGAACATGCTAGGGAATCACTCTACCACTGAGCTACCCTTTAATTGTCTGTTTTGTGCACTACAAATATGAGCTGTACAAAGACAGGGATTCCTTTCTGTCTGGTTTGGGGATATGTTTCAAATGCCTAGAATGTTGCCTGATACACATTGAAGCTCAGTAATGATTTTAAATGATAATCATAGTCCCTTTCATAAATACATAATGCCTCTTGATGACCTGTAAAGACTAATAATCCAAATGCATGCAAGTCCTGTATGATTTGGCATTAGGCCATATTCTACTTTTTCCCTCATGACCCTTGTACTATATAACTCAAAAACTGAAACCCTTTGCCCAGTACATGACCTATGATATCCTACTTGTGCCGATGCTGGTCTCTTCACTTGGAATGCTCATTTTGGTAGCTGTATTTCTATTTTGAGAGCTTCTCTTGATTTTAAAATTTGGCTATTGGTAAACCAAATGTGGAATATGGATTAAAAATAAAACTAGATGATTAAGCTCTATTTTATTTTTGAAAGATTTTTTTCCCTAACAGTTATTTTCAAGAATCATAGAGCACACCAAGGCACATAGAAAATTGTATTCATGTAAAAAATTTTCCCAATTACCTGTGATAGAAACCATAAAGAAAAGCTTTCTGCACATGCTTTATAAATTTCATTGCACTATAGAACATACATTCTATATAGATGTGCACATTTAATCTAATACAATATTTTCTCATACATGGCTCTCATTAAAAAAATCTGCTTTCAGAGCCAGGCATGGTGGCACACGCCTTTAATCCCAGCACTTGAGAGGCAGAGACAGCCTGGTCTTTGTGAGTTCGAGGCCAGCCTGGTCTATGTACACAGCGAGTTCCAGGCCAACTAGGGCTACAAGGAGACCCTGATTCAAAAACACACACAAAAATCTGCTTTCAGAAAGAGATGGGCATGGTGGCACATGCTTTTAATCCCAGCACTCAGGAGGCAGAGATAGGTGGATCTCTGTGAGAGGGAGGCGCCAGCCTGGTCTACCTTGTCTCCAGGCCAGCTGGGGCTACAGGATACCCTGCCTCTAAAAGCCCCCTGAAAAAAATCTGCTTTTAGGAGCTGGAGAGATGGCAAGACATTTAAGAGCATATACTGTTCTTTCAGATGACCCATGTTCAGTTCCCAGCATCCACATCGGATGGCAGATCCAGGGAGATCTGGCACTCTCTTCTGGCTCCTGCATACACCTGCATACATATGGCAGACACTCATACTCATACAGGCACATATGCATACACATAAACCAAAAAAATCTTTATTAAAAAAAAATTTCCTCTCAAGGCTGTGGAGATGAATCAGCTGTTAAGGGCACTGACTCTTCTTGCTGAGGGCCTGGATTTGATTCTTAGCACCCACATGAGAACTAACGACCATTTGTAAATCCAGTTCCAGGGAATATGATGCCTTCTTCTAACTTCCAAGGGCACTGCATGACACAAGTGCACCTACCTACATGCAGCAATATACT